CCAATAGATCAGCTCGGTATTTAGAGACCCCATTCTCTCTAATAATAAAAGGTATACTAAAATTTTTGTATCTTCCAAGGAATTGAATCAGCATCCTCCATCGGGATGAAAATTCTGCATGTGCTTGCATCTAAGTTAAAACTGATTGATTAGTCTTCTCTAATATCATATGAAAATTGTATACGTGGACTTAATTCAAGATTACATCCAATTTAAAATCAATTGAGAATAACCCTCCTTGTATTTGACCAATAAATTTCTTTATTATACACTTAATGTGAGATTTTCCCACTCAACATCTAACATCAGAGGCTACTTTCTAACCAACCATTTCTTTAATTTCCTTCTCATCTATGCCTAATTAGATCTAGGTGTAAGTTTGGCCACGAAAGGAGCAATGTCACCTAGATTTTTTTGGTACATGGCCATACGACAAGAAATAGTCCTCCACTTACCAAACCCCTCCTTATTCATCTCATAATTCAAGCTTGAAATCTTCAACATAGACTATATATTATTTAATGATTAGTTCCTTTAGGTTTTTTAAGACATGTAATATTATATACATCAATTAATTTAATTATCTAGTATAAACCACATCATCGATCCTAAATTTTCATCCCAAAATTTCATTCTCCCTATCATTACTCTAAAATAAAATGTCTAATTTCGTGTTCCCTCAAAATAAACTAATTTATCTTGTCCAAGTCAAATCCCAATAACCACGAAATTCCAAGGCAACCAATATAAAACCGTTTGCTCCATCAAAAACCCAAAATAGAGATAATTTGTCCAACCCTTGCAATTTATATGAACATTTGATGAGCTGAATTTAGATAGATATTAATGTAGAACTTTTGCATTGATATTATTGATATTTGGATGAGTTCTATAAAATTTTATTTGATTTTATATAATTTTTGTTCTTTGTATAGGAAAAGATTTAATTGGAAGAAATCATAATTCTTAGGAGCAAATTGCAGAGATCACAAAGTTAAGGATTAGGTTGTGCAGAATTCAAAAATTAGGGATCAGAACTGTCATTTTACTATTAACAGAAATTGCTTAGAAGGCAAAAAAACTCAGTGATTTGAGTTTGCGCTTAACAGAAGTTGTCGGCACAAAGTTGAAGGTGTTGACCTTATGCAATTTTCAAAAAATTCGTGTCTAACTTGTTATTTTGGCGTGAGTCCCACTTCTATTCCTATTAAATTTTTTAGAATTTTATAAATACTTATCTAAATTAAAAATTAAAGGAGAGTTTTGGAGGGTGATGGCAGTTCTTCTTTAATTACTCTTGGAAATCAAGATAGTTAAGTCATTAATAATAAAAGATAAAAGAATTTT